AATTATTTATATATGAATACATCGAAAATAAATTTTAAGCTTATTTCCCTTCTTTAAAAATGTTTTATTAAGTGATGGTAGTAAAAAATTGACATAAAAGGGCAAAGTGTACGAGGATTTGCGCATTGCTGGTAAATAAGAAAAATGGTACCCCGAAAAAATGTTGAATTAAAAAATATGGTTGGCACATCTTATTTCACACCGGTGAGTTGAATACGACTTTAAGCACTCCGTGAACCTGATCGTGTTTTTGTTGCACCGGTAGGTTGTTGTAACTGTGCATTACGAAGCACATCGTCGAGCATTTCGATAATTGGCCTATCCGCTAGTCGGTTATAGCGAGCTGAAACGTCACTTGTGATGGGGTTTCCTTCGAAATAAGCTGGTTTCAAACGGTCGATACTAACAGTATCTTCACATCCGTTTCGCTTGACTATATAGAATTTCTCGTGTCGCTTGATCACTTTGAATGGCCCATCGTAGGGTGGTTCAAGTGGTCGACGAACGGCGTCGTGGCAAACGAACACGTGTGATGCCTTTTGTAAACTGGGGTGAACGAAGACATCAGTCATTTGCGGTCTAACCGGAGAAGGCCTTACTGAGCGCATTGCGTTTGTAAGCCTAGTCACATAAGATGTCCTGTGGGAAACATGTTTGAAAGTTGAAGGGGAGACAAATTCACCTGGCAGGCGAAGAGTGGTCCCATGGACGAGTTCTGCAGGGGTGCATCCAGCATCAACTTTCAACGCGTTGCAGAGCCTCGGTCTACTGAGGCATGCTTGCAGGTGAGAAGGAAGCTTTCGGCTGTCGATGGAAACGCTCCACCATGCCATTTGCTTGTGGGTGGTAGGCTGTTGTTCGGAACCGTGTGCAACCCAAAAGTGCAGTTGAAGCGTGAAATAATCCACACTGGAATTGGCGCCCACGGTCGGCTGTGACGTAAGATGGACATCCGAAGTTCGCAATCCATCGTTCGACGAAAACACGAGCCACTGTTTTAGCAGTAATATCCCTGATAAGTACTGCTTCCAGCCATCGTGCGAAACGATCCACGCAAGTGAAAAGGTAAGCACACCCAATAAATTCTGGTAGGGGTCCTACAATATCCATATGGACGTTGTTGAAACGCATGTCTGTGGCTAGAAAAGAGCCTAAAGGGCTTTTCGTGTGTCTCGTGAGTTTGCACTTTTGACAGGCTAAGCACGACTGAGCCCGCTCCTTAACGTCTTTGTTCATCCCAGGCCAGCAGAAACGTTGTGCAGTAAGCCTAATGGTGGCTCGTACACCTGGATGGGACAGTTTGTGCAGCGTATTGAAGACGTTGCGTCGACAACTCTTCGGAACTGTTGGGCGTGGTTGACCAGCAGAGATATCTCACAAAATTGTATCGTTGTCTGATCCAACCGGACAAAGTCGCAGATTGAGAGTTGTGGACTACAACTCATGATGCAGCTCAAGGTCTTCCTTTTGACGCCGAACTAGTTCAACGAGATCAACGCCCTCGATACGGTTTATCGACGCTATTCGTGATAGTGCGTCGGCTACGTGGTTATTTGCTCTTGAAGTGTGGCGGATATCTGACGTGAACTGAGAAATGTAATCCAGTTGTCGTGACTCACGAGGGGAGTATTTGTCAGACGGTGAGCTGAGGGAAAAGGTTAACGGTTTGTGGTCTGTGGAAATAATGAAATCACGACCTTCCACAGAATGTCGAAGGTGGCGTGCAGAACAGTACATCGCTAGGAGTTCCCTACCAAATGTACTGTATCTTGTTTCCACGTCTTGCAGCCGCCTCGTGAAAAAGGCTAACGGTTGCCACTGGTTGTCAGTCAATTGCTGCAAAACTGCTCCAGTTGCTGAGTCAGATGCATCAACAGCATACTCAAAGGAGCATTGGGGTAATGATGCATTAGCATGGTTGCGTTCGAAATGGCTTCCTTGACTTTGGAAAAAGCAAGTCTAGCTACGCTGTCCAGAGCCACGAACTTCGTAGTTCCTCGAAGTAGATCTGTTAGTGGTCTCATGACAGAGGCACAGTTGGGGATAAACCTTCGGTAATAACTTACCAGGCCATTGAAAGTGCGGAGATGTTTCACAGTGGTCGGCTCTGGATAGTTTGTGATAGCCGCCACTTTATCTCTCAATGGGCGTATACCTTTGTTGTCAATGGTATGCCCAAGGAAGCTGAGTGATTCAACTCCTATTTCACACTTCTGTAAGTTGACTGTGATGCCATGTTTTTCAAGTCTTTCGAATGCGAGGTCTAAATGTTTGAGGTGAGTTTCCTTATCTGGATTCGCAATTAGACAGTCATTGATGTAGACATGAACAAAATTCAAACCACGGAAGACATCATTCATGAAGCGTTGGAATATTTGTGCTGCATTCCGAAGACTAAATGGCATGCGCAGGAATTCAAGCAAACCAAAAGGAGTTATAATGGCTGTTTTTGCGATATCTTCTGCTGCCATAGGTAGCTGATTATACGCTTTGACCAGATCGATTTCGGAGAATATGTTCATTCCGCATAACGTCACAGTCAAGTCGCAAACATGAGGTGTCGGTGTTGTTTTGGCGTTAAGCCTTCGGTAATCACCGGTTGGACGCCAGTCGTTGCTATCCTTTTTGGAAACTATGTGCAATGGTGATGCCCCAATAACTGTTTGACGGTTTAATAATGCCCAGTTCGGGCATGTGGTCGAATTCACTCTTCGCCGTTACGAGCTTATCGGGGGCTAGACGTCCAGCTTTGGATGCCATAGGTGGACCTGTGGTTGTGACGTGATGCACAACATTGCTGGTTATGCGCGGAAGAGTGTGCTTCGGTTGTTGCGACTCTGGATATTTCTCCAACAATGCCTGGTAGGACGCGTCGCCTGATTGTTTGGTTCTAACGATGGCTGAACTCGGACCTACGTAGGTGGTGCCGCCAATAGATAACTTTGTGTTGTTATCTATCAGTCGTTGACGGCGAGCATCTACGAGTAGATCGTAATGGTTTAGCAAATCTATGCTAATGATGGGCATAGAGACGTCAGCGGGGAGGAAAATCCAGTGGATAGGTTTACGTAAACCTAAGTTGAGGTGGGCATACGGTCACCCGAATGTCGCGATTGCCTTGCCGTTGCATGCCTGGAGATTGAAGGATGGGTCATGATGACGCTCCTTTGTGGGTGCGGGAAGAACGCTAACTTCTGCGCCGGTGTCGATGAGGTAGCGAACTTTCGTCTTTATATCGGTGAGGTAGAGCAAACGGCTGTTTCCGCCGGCTACGGTTGCCATGAACACGTGCCAGCGTGACCATTTCCCGAGTTTGTGTCCTTCTTAAAACTGCATGGTTTCCGACATTTTCTGCATTCGTCTCCATAAGTATTATGAAACCAGTAGCACTTTGAGTTTTCCACCCTGTTAGGTTTAGTTTCGGGACGACCACGCGAGTTGCTACGATGCGCTAAGACGCGTTTCTGTGAAGTGCTACGTGAACTAGTACTTAGAGATCGTAGCAACTCTTTAACAGAGTTGCACAGCTTCGTCACCTCTGAATCCTGGCTCTCTGGTTTGTCGGAGACAGAATATGCGTTGGAGACGGGTCTGCTAGAAATCTCCAGTATTTCATCTGCCGAAGCTACCTGGTCATCGAGTGGGACTGACTGCAGTGTCACTAACACGGTTTGCACCGGTTGTGGTAATTTTGAGAGAAATAGTTCTCGGAAAAGGCCTTCGTCAAATGTTCATGCACCGATAACTTCTCTCATGCGTGCAAGGACTTCAGTAGCTGAGTGGCTGCCTAGCTCGATGTTACGAAGTAATTCGTCTAGGCGCTGGCAATCTGTGAGATCGCTTTTCTTCAGGAGTGCGGCTTTAAGAAGTGCATAAGGATCACTTACTTCAGGATTAAACATATGTGCTGTAACGTACCTGTTTCATTCCCGCGGTAGCGGCCGTATGACAGCAAGAAATCGAGAATGAGGATCTGAGACGCCCTGTTCTTGAAAATCTGCCCTAACATACGGAAACCATGTTTCCGCATTGTCTGGCCAATATGGCACGAGTTGGGTAGTGTTCTTAGTCGGCTTAATACGAATAAGCTTGGGAGTGTGGTCGGACATGAGAAAGTGTAGTAAATGGATATATAAATGTTATCGAAATGAAAACAATTTTAAATATAAAATGGAACAGGCTCACCAATTCAATATTTGTTATTGGTCGGGATATGTGATCATATCGGGCTCACCAATTTAGGATTTGTCCTGGTGCGAACTTGACAGACGCAAAGACCAATCACTAATTATTCGGACTTGTTATGTACCCACGAATACGAGACCAAGGAAGAACACGATAGCGTAGTCGGATGGAATAGTATATTTGGATGGTTGTGCCGAAATACCGATGCGTTCCAACTAACTGGCTAGAGAGTCGAATACGAGCAGTACAACGTAACACGACAGCGTGCCAATTGGCGAGGATGCTTGACCGGCTGCCTTCAGCCTAGAGAATCCAGTTAATTTGTCAAGGCCAGCATCAATGTCGGAAGTCGTCAAACCCAGGCTATTAATTTTGAGGAAGTGTGTGACGCTGCAACCCAACCGCCCGTCGGGTTAACCAAAGTACAGCAGTCGCGTGGGTGGACCTACTGCATTGGAATCCTCCAAAGACTTGGAACCGTTCCACAAGAATTAGAAGCGAGCGCAAAGAAACCAATTGTTTTACACTAGCTCGTTAAGAGGTATTGGATGTTGAAAACATCGGATTAGTGCAAATGAACACGAATTATTGATCCTCAAGACCCGCAAGTTTCCTCTACTAGCACTATTGATGTTGATTGATGTTGGATGTTGCTACTGAACAAAACTGAACCGAGACGCAAGACCTGGCGGCGAGAGCTCGCACTTTTGCTGTTGGATATTGGAACCGCTTCATTTCTGTCGCTCAAGGTCGACTGGGAATAGAAAGCCGGCCAAATTTTTTTCCTGAGCATATATTTTTAGGACATTTCTCTGATGTACGTACCAACTATTCCTGCACATCTTCGAACTCGTCTGGTGTCACATGGACAAAGGGTCTGTCAACTTTATAAAGCGGTACTCTATGATGTAAAGGCGAAACACTCTTCAGTGTAATTTCATCATTTTGTCATTCAAGGCTTACAGGCTCAAATATCGATATTATGCTGTCTTAGCACGAGCACGTTTCGAGGAAAACAGAAATGTCAAAGATCCCATGCTAGCTAGAAAACTGTTGGAAGATGGATGGGAGGAACTAAAGTTGACGGCAACGCCATGGACTTTTACCTGTAAATCTTAGTATACATTCTTAACAGACACCTAGATCCAAACTCACCGTTGGGTGCGGCTTATGGTAGGGAGACTTATTTTAATGACTGTGTAAGTTTAAGATTTAGAAGTATTGGTTGTTTTACTGTTAACGTTGAAGCACGTCATCTTAAATTAACTTAATTAATTGGTGGAAGCACTTTTATTTCCAGATTATTCATTTTAGTCTTTAAGTAACACTTTTTAGCTATCATTTGTATAAGGTCTTTAGCGGCATAAGTGCTGTTGAGATCGTGTTTACGAAAGTAAGTAAAAAGCATTTGTGTGCCTAGTGACCAAAGTTTCCAACACTGCTGTCGTCCTGACCAAGCTAACGCAGTATTGAGTAGAGTTCATCATGGTCTGTGAAACTCAACTTTGTTTCTCGTTATGCAATAGCAGCAAAACAACATAACGTCCTTTGTTTTCACATAGTGAGAATTGGAATTCAGGATGAACTCCTGGTATAATCATTGTCCATTTATCGGGTCAGTAGGGATTGTAACGCATTCAAACTGGCTGAAGTCCTCAATAGACTAGTTATCTTTCATTCAGGCAATTCGTCATCATGTTAAACTTTAGCTACAGTGGTGTGACTTTACAGGATTTCATAAACATACCGCGTTGGTTTTTAGCACGTTTTGCTTCTCTGCTTATCAGTAACTAATCATTATGTTGAAGTTGATGTATGTAATATTTTGAAGAATCACCGTAGTTTTAACCAGTGCATTCAAATCTGTAGACCTCTTTGCGGTACCGTTCACCCAGGTTGTTTAGTGATAAAATCCATTTGATTAACCAAACGGAAAGCGTTTCAATTTTCCTGAAAATAAATCATACACATGATTTTCATGAGGCTGTTATCTCCTGCATTGTTTCTGAGTCTAACTAGGGAAAAAACATTCGTTCACTTTGTATACTTTATAAGCATGTTTATCGTTGTAGAAGTAGTCTACTCTTGATTGTTCACCGAAAATCTTTTTAAACCGTCACAGTGGTTCGTATCTGGTGACCGAGTCCCAGGGTATCTTTGCAAACTAGAGAAAGTAATCCAAGCTAGTGGGTAAGTTGGACTATGTTTAGGCTGTATGTATTCAGCATCACCAGTCTTTCTGCCAGCCTTCACATACCAGTCAACTACCAGCAAGTGTTTACTATCAAACATAACTTTTGCGGAGAATGGGTTGAGTTCACCGTTAGTTTACGCTTGCATATACTCTTTTTATTTCATTCACTTTATCTCGGGTTGATTTTCCCGACAGGACTGAAGTAGTAGACAGTAAACCGTATGTACTTTTTGATTGCCCACTACAACTATGCTCAGATAACCACCTGTTTTTAGCTAGCGCAAATTTCAGATATAAAGAGGGACACTGTCTAACGTCCAGTGAGCTCAACTCAGTGATGGGCATAGACCACATTAGTATTAGTCATCGCTGGAAAACTGCCCCTCCTTCTGGAGTACGTGTTTGGGTAGCGACCACGCGTTGATCCGAGCCCGTATATCTCTGCATCTCAATGGATGGGGAAAAAATGGCAACAAAACCACACGAGTGCTGCTGGACAACGAAAACACCAAAGCCGTGTTCAGTGAGTTGGCTAGGCAGTTGTCGGAACAGGAGACTCAATCATTTAGAAGAAGCTTGGTGCCATCTCTAGTCTGTTGTAAAAGCAGCGCTGAAGAGCGTAGGCGACTCCGAAATAGTGGCTAAAAACAGCCAGTTGATGTCAGTGGCTTCTTCCGAACTAATGAATGCACGTGAACGCATCCTTGTAGGCTCTGAATACAATGAAGAGCGAGCGCAACTTAAAAGTAGATTGGGAAGTCAACGCAACGACCGCGAACAGTGGTGGGCAGCGAAGGCTTAAGAGATGGAAAAGGCAGCGGTGGTCGGTAACAGTAGACAGTTATTTAGACTTATTAAGGAAACTGGGGGGAAAAAGTCAACAACGGTTAGTGAGGCTATGGCGGAGAAGGACGGTCCTGCGGTTAACTCGCAAGGGAGACGACTGGGACTGTGGACAGAACACTTCGAGGAACAGTTTAACTGGCGTCCGGCCACCATTGCGTTGCCCGCTATACAGTCTGATCCTGAATGGAACAGTGAGATAGGCCCCCAACTAGCAGAAGTTGAGAAAGCAGTAGGTAACCTGAAACGAGGAGTAGCAGCAGGACCAGGCGGAGTAACTCCAAAGGTATACACGGATGGTAGTAAGGTGTTCTTAGTCAGGTTAACGGAAGTGTTAACCAGTATATGGGAATCAAATACGATCCTCTCTGACTGGTCTAAATCACTGATTATTCCAGCCTTCAAGAAAGGCGAGAAGTCCTCTTGTGATAACCACAGAGGAATCAGCCTGACGAACATAGTGTGTAAGACTGTAGGTTCTATAATTCTTCGACACCTGAGTGGAGCTGGAGAACAGCAAGCCCGAGAAAACCATGGAGGCTTTAGTCCCGGCCGCGGGTGTATCGACCAAATATCCACACTGCGCCAGGTTCTGGAACATAGTCACGCTTACCGATGCCCGACACTAGCTGTATTTCTCGACCTGAAAGCAGAATTTGACTCCATTGGTCGAGAAATCTCATGACAATGTCTCTCACTGAAAGTCGTGCCAAGTAAGTACATCACCTTATTGAAGGTTCTCTACTGGAACATTTGTGGGCGCGTTAGAGCCTATGGTGAGATGTCCAGGGAGCTATGCTCATCGAGTGGTGTTCGTCAAGGGTGTCCACTGTCTCCATTCTTATTCAATTTTACCATAGATATTCTCATGGAGGTCTCCCTCTCGTCATCTGATTACACAGACGTTAACCTAATCGATGGAGAATTTTCGTTAGACTTAGAATATGCAGATAACATGGTCCTGTTAGGTGAAGACGCTGACAAGATGCAGAGTCTTCTGAATACTTTGAGTGGGAATTTGAGAATGTTTGGGATGCGGTTTTCACCATCCAAATGCAAATTTTTGCTCCAGGATTGGTCTTCAACGATCCCACGGCTGACAATAGAGAGTGAAGTGGTTGAGTGTGTTGACCACTTCACTTACCTGGGAAGTAGGATCAGTCCTGGTGGCTCAGTGGCCGATGAAATTTCTGCACGGATACAAAAGTCTCGACTGGCTTTTTTCAATTTACGCCACCTATGGCGCAACCACGTCGCGTGTACTGCACAACAGTCTGCTCTGTTCCACTGTATAGCTGTGAAACATGGCCATTCAAGGTGGAAGATATGAGAAGGCTTCGGGTGTTTGACCACCGTTGCCTTCCTAGTATAGGCTGTATTCCGTGGTGTCACCACGTGAGTAACGCAGACGTGAGGTGTCGAGTTTTAAGGAGAAGAGGTAAGTCAGTTGACGAGGTTTTGAACCTTCATCGACTGAGATGGCTGTCTGAGACATGTGCTACGTATGCCTAGTCGCCGATTACCTCATCACAATGTTGGTTGAAGTAGGTTCAGGCTGGTAAAAGCCCCGAGATGGCCATTTTATGAAGTCTTTGACTGTTGGTTTGTGCCATGTGGGGTGATGCAGACTAGGTGGTTGGGGTTCGTGGGACAAGAGGAGCCAGTGGTTGGAGACTAGTTGATATGGCTCAGAACCGATGTCAGTGGTGCAGATGTATACATACATTATCCTCATCTTAACGACGCTATACCGAATCTCACCATTTTCTCATTTTTCCTTTCTCTCTTTCCGTAGATTATATTTCTTTTGACTAGGTTTTCTTATCGTCATCTTGCACCTCACTGCCTTTTTACTTGATGTACTGATATGAGGTGTGGCAACTCGGACCGTTACGCAATAATGTCTGGTTCTACGTTGATATTGATGATGATGTACTTTTGGTTATATCAGTGATCTCATTCTTTTGCGTGTAACTAGACAGCTTTTGGCGTAGTTTATATTCTCCAAACCTATGATTTTTGGAGCGTAGTAGAAAACTGTACTTAGCCATTGAAATTTTTAACTTTCTGGGTGAATGAAGCCACCTAGTCAAAAAGTGCCCTGATGCTCGAAAAGTCCATTAGTACTAGTATATTAAAACCTAACTTGTACGGCATAAAATCTAAAAAGAAATCGAATCAATATCAACATAGGACCAGACATTACTTCATAACGGTCCACGTTGCCACACCTCATCAGTACAACAAACAATAAAGTAGGAAGATAAAGAAGGAAAAATCGGTCGAAAGCAGCAAAAAGCACTCAAGAAGAGAAGAAAAATTAGGAAATGCTGAATTCACCATGGTGGTTACGATACAGTGTGGATACATCTACACCACTGATACCTATCTGAGCCATATAACCTAGTCTCCAACTACTAGTTTCTATTGTCATCTGAACCCCAACCAGCTAGTCCGTATATCTTAACAGTCAGGGACTTCGTACAGTGGTGTCATTTTTTCGTCCGGCTACCCAGAACCTTTTTCAACATGAACCTACTAAGCTAACATTGGGCGAATAGGCAGACGGTAAATAGGTATGCATGATTTATGAGTCGATGAAGATCCACAACCTTATCAACTGACTTTACTCTCCCCACCACTACTTGGCCTATGCTACGAAGGCAACGGTGGTCAAACACCAGAAGCCTTTTCATGTTCTCTACCTTTTTTGGTCATGTTTCAGTTAAACAGCGAAACAAAACGAACCGTAGCACAGTTAACTTGACCCTTAAAATTCAATCGGATATCATGGTGGCGCCACGGTTGAGATGAGGTAGCAAAAGCCAATTAAGCCTTTTGTGTCCGTGCGGAGATTTCGTCTGACTCATCGGGTCTGATCTGACTTTTCAGAAAAGTGAAGTGGTCAACGCACTCAACTACTTCACTTTCTGTTGTTAGCCAAGACACCTCTGAAGACCAGTCCTGGAGCAGCAATTAGCATTTGGATGACGAAAAACGCATCTCACATTCTCGAATTTCAACTGAAGGTGTTCAGAAGACTGCACCTTGTCGGGGTTTTCATCTAACAGGAATACGTCATCTGTGTATTCTAGATCTACTAAAGACTCTTGCAGGACAAATCAACGCAGAATCTGTTGGTTCATGTTTCCACTTCACAGC